CTCAGAGGGTATCAGTTAAAAATTTGTTTTTTAAAAAAAGTTGAGAAAATCGACAAACAATAAATAAAAAATAAATCATTTATTCCGGAAAAATATGAGGTGTAAATTAAATTTAAACCATGTCATTAAAAACTAACGCCACGTTTAATTTTTTGCAGAACGCGCCTAATCACCTTTCATTTTTGTATTTTTTGCCGCAGTTACAACTATTTTCAAGTAACGGGTGACAATTGAAAAACAAGAATGGATTTAAAAACATCTAACTCCTTTTAGGTTAAAGGTAAAAGAAAAAAGAAAAAATGTCTTAGAAAGTATTTTAATTTTAGTTTTTAAATACTTTGTGTGTTTTTATTTTTAATTAGAAAAATAAAAAATAAGTTCAAAACAAAAAGAGATTAGAAAACGTGTGTATGAACTTTATTTAAACTACAGGAAAAGATTGGTAAAAAGTTCACTTATGACTTCTTTAAAAGTAAAAATAAATAAGTAAAAATAAAAGTAAAATTTACCTAAAAATATAAAATCTACAAAACAATTAAATGTGTTAAAAGTGAATCTCACCACCGAAGAATTCAAAGAACAGGAGGAAAGGCAAAAAAAATGACCAAGACAAACATTAAAAGGCTCAAACCTATGTTTGACCATAAGGACGGAGTTTCTCAAAGACAGGCAGAATAAGAATTCAACTGTATTTTCAGCAACACATTAATAAAACATTATAGGAAAAGGTAAAAATTATTCCAAGCAAAAAAATTCGAAAACGTTCTGACCAGCAAAAAGCAGTTGCTAGAACTAAGTGCAGTCAATTGTGTAAGAAATTTAAAAATTACACACCAATCATTGGTGATGAGTCTTATTTCACATTAAACTACTCCAGTATCAATAGAAATAATATATTTTATATAGACAATATAAACTCTTCTCCATCTACAGTTAAATACCAAAAAAATTACTTTAATGCATTGCTTATTGTAAAAATGGCATTTCTCAACCCTATTGTGTGCCTTGTGAGCTTTGCTTTGTTAATCAAGAAATCTACTTAAACAAATGCATTAAGTAGAGACTCATTTCATTCATTGATAAGTATCATTCAGATGCAGCATATGTATTCTGGCTCAATTTGGCATCATTTTATTATGTAAAAACTTAAAAAATGTGCATTTTATTAAGGAAACGGATAATCTTGCAAACTTACCAGAGTCCTAATCTAAAATTTTAGGAGTATTTTGAAAAGTCTTGTTTACAAGAATTATTGAAATGCAAAAAATCTTAAAAAACTACGCTCTAGAATTCAATATTGCCTAATTTTAAGTTATAAATAAAAGTTTATCTTAAGCTCATACTGATATTAGCTTAGTTGATACTAGGCCTAGTTGATGAAGTCAGAAGGAATGGTTTAATTGAAAATAACTGATTATATAATTATAATATATTTAGCTCTTTTTTGTTTATTTCCAATGCTGTTTATTGTAAAAGGCTTCTTGTGCACTTTTTTTAATAAGAATACAATGCTGCGGAGGTAATTAGAAATTGTAATTATGCCTGCATGAAATTGCAATCACGTACTTGATCTAATATCTTCGTTGTGATAGTACCAATGTTAAATAAAAGTTATATTAATCTATGTTAACGTTTTTTTGTTAAGGTCTTTGTGGTAAATCAAATGGTAAATCAAGTGTTGACACAGATATAAGTTAATAACTGACTTTTAAATCCTAATGTTTAAAAGCGACTGCGGCGCAGTGGTTACAGCGCTTACTTCAGAAGTAATTAATCTAGGTATATTGCGAGCCATTAGTAAGCAAGGAGGCGTGAATTTCCTAGTTTAATGCCCTACCGCGGGGCTCTGTGACACCTAAAACAAAAATTAAAAAATAAATTTTAGTTTTATCATTATTACTGATTGATGTAAATGTTAAATATGCTAAATATACTGCTAATATAAATATTTCTCAATCACATTTTGATATTTCTAATTTACATGTTGTATCTCTCAACTATATATTGTGTCTCTCAACTATATATTTTGAAATCGCATATACTACATTTCTTTTTTAAATGCAGCTATCATGTTATCAACGATATCCTATATTTTTTATTTATAAAATTCGTGTACTTAATTGCATTCTACTTTTTTTAATAGCAACTATTGTGTTCTTAAATTTTGGTTTTACGAGAAAGTATGCAAAGAAGTGCCATATTACGTTAGCTGTAGTGAAATTTTATGCACTAAGTTTAACGCTAAAATCATCTGTTTTCCTATCAACTTACATAATTCTTTTTTTTTATCTATAAGGTAACTAAATGTATTACACCATGTTATAATGCACTTAAATATATTACTCATTGTGATAATGTAATGCAAATGTTTTACTATGTCATAATTTAATTTTTCAATCAAATGTGATACTTAATGTATTAATGTAATTAATCGTAATAACTTAAAATGTAACTTAATGTAATAATGTAAATAAACGTAACTTAATGTTAAAATGTAAATAAATGTAATAATCTAAATAAATGTAAATAAAACTCAGTGTAATATTAAAATCGAATATAATACTCAATATAATAATGTAATCAAATGTAATTATGGAGTCTAATGTAACCAAGTTATTATTTTTGTTTTATTTTGTATGCTAGGTTTTATATGCTTGGTTTCTGGCACTAGTTTTATGCTACCTGATCTGAAACTATTCTTAATCTTAATTTTTTAAATTCTCGAGTTAAACTACCAATCGTAGCATTAAAATTAGAACTATTTAACTTAAGGATTTTGCAACATTATGCTTAGAACATGTTTCTGCATTCTATTTGACTCTCACAATGTTCTGCATTCTATTTGACTCTCACAATGCCTTTTAAGTAAAACCACGTTTCACAAGTATTAGCTTAATCAGTAAATGTTCTCCTAATAGACATTTTATTCCATATCAAGTGCTAACAATCAAAACGTGATTTTTCACGCAAAAAATAAACAAATAATATTAATAAATTTAAAATATTTTTAGTTTAATTGATATGGTAAGCATATTTTGTAGTAGAAAAAACTTTTTAAGCACAGTTTGAGTGATTGAAAAATAACTGTAACTAGTGCACTTGCCTCAGAAACAATAGATCCTTGTTTCAAACATCATCTCTGAGCAGGTTTTGCGACATCGGTTAGAAGGAGGCGTGAACTTCTAACTAAATGCTTATCTGCGGTTTTCTGTGATAAGACCGTAAGGACGTCTTGGGGCACCTAAATAAAATTAAATTAAAAAAAAAAAAACGCACTTTGATTTTCATCAGTATAACGACATAATATAATAAGTGCAAACAACCAATCACAGGCAAGTAGACAGGATTTTGATATTTGACAAAAGACATTTGAATTAATGAACCACTTTGATATCAATTTGTCATTGCAAGTTTACAAGGTTATTTGTTGCATTTTTGTTTATTTTGCAGGTAAAATATAGTTCCGCATTTTCTGTATTGCATTTCAACATAGTGTTAAAATTATAAGAAATGGAAGATACAAAAAGATAATATTGTAATGCGTACAGGAAGTAGTGGAAGTCTAGTAAAAAATAAAAAATAAGTGTTCAAAACTTAGCAGTTTTTATATGATCCATCGTTGTATCCAAAACACGAAAACCTGTCGTCGCTTAAAAGTAGCATCAAATTACCTTACACAAATTCAAGAAAACTTAAGTTTTTAACTCAAAAAAAAAATAAGACCTAAATTAAAATTGAGCTAGAAAGTTGTGTCTGCGCATTTATACAAAGTTAGTTCTTAAAAGTTGGTTCTCACATAGTTTGTTTCTAGAAGTAACTAAGGTTAAGGTAACTAAAGTTAAAGGCTACAAAATATTGCAAAGAAACATATCAAAAGTTAAAAAATCAAAATGAATTGAGGATTGTTTTAGTTGAACTAAATGTAAAACTAAAGTAAAGTATTTTTATAATTTTTTTTTTACTTTTAACCGAGACTTAAAAGTGCCCTATAAAAAATGTACAAGGGAAGTTTTAAATGTGGAACCGTATAGCAGTTTCAATTAAAAAAATGTTTTCACCATTTCATGAATATTTTGTTTTGTCCATTCTCAACCAAATATAAAAATAAACACAGGCTTAATCTTTATTGAAGAAGATAATAATTATATTCAACGGTATCGTTTAATTTTTATATTAATTATTTATATCTTTTTAAGTTTGTTAAAATCATAAATGTTTGTTTTTATCCGTTCCAAACCTATGACGTATCACGTTTTGATTGTTAGGTCCTCAAATAGGCTGTTGAAGTTACTTAGAGATTCAAAAGATCCAAATTTTGATTTGAATAATTTACATGTAACAATGTCTCATTTACTAAAGATCACGGTTACTACGTGACACCTGGCTTGAATAAATAATAAAAATACTCCTTATATGCTATATAAGTTACATAGCACCTGAAAATAGAAAAAATTTTCACCTTAAATAAATCTTGCAACTAATCTTGTTGTACCATATACTCTCTCAAGACTCTGCGGCATTGATATGATTATTTGTTTCCACATACATTCAGTTTCTATTTTAATATTCAATTAAATTTATATCTAATATTTAATTATATTTATATCGGCGATATATATTTATATGAAACTTTAAAACAAAAAATCCCATAAGTTTTAGCCCTCTCTTTCTAGCCCTTAAGGTGAAAGCAATAATTTTATAAAATAATTTTTTCTATTTTCCTCTAGATTTACATTCATCATTAATATTTAAATTTCGTGCAATAATCTCTTAATTTTCGTAAATCATAACCATATAAAGTTTTAAGCCCTTCAATTGAATAGTGCTGTAATATTATTATTGACAATGAGATTATTGCATCAAATTTGAAATTTATCAATGAATAAAATTTAAAAAAAAGATAGTAAAGTAGATTTTTTATAAAAATGTTGCTTCACGTAAGGGCTGGGGAAGCCAAAATTTTAGAGTTTTTTGTTCAATGAACTTAATGTTATTTTTAGGTTGCCTATGAAGCAGGATGTACGTTAAAAAGCATAGCCATTTCCTACACTGTTATCTGTTTTATAGTAACTTTTTTAGGGTCACTTATGCTTGTTCCTGACAAAGAAAAGGTTGCAATGATGTATGTTTATAAATCATTACTATTTTATTTTATTATTTTATTCTTCAGCCTTCCTACATATATATTTTCTTTACAAATTAAAAGTGTTTATTACAGAATGTACTTTGTATCTTAAATTAAGGTAAAAATAAAAGTAACCTATGAGATAATTATTATCTTCTTATAATATAATAATCATGTGCACAACTGCTGTTATCTGGGAAACAGAAATTTTATATTTTGTTTAATTATTATATTAGTTTAAACATTTGAATAATTTTTAAACTTTTCTATATAAAGCATTTTAAATAGATCAAAAAGTGTGAATTTAATTATACATAAGGTGCCACTAATTACATTATACGATAATAGCTACCTGTTGAGATTTCACCCCATTTATTGACTACGTAGTTGAGATGCACTCCATGCATACATATAAACCAAAACAGTTGCCCTTTTCTATAATAACATTTATTAAAGTGATGGTTACTAATTTTTTTTTTATGATTACGCGTTAAAAATAATTTCCTGATAAAAAAAATTATGCCAACTTAAACTTTTAAATTCATTAGCTAAAATCTATACCGCAATCCATGTATTTAGTTTTTTTTTATTCAATCAGATTCACTCTCAACAATGCTGAAGGAAACCAATATTAAGTTTGGTTTTATTAGAGAATAAAAAATAGGTTTAAAGAGAAAGACAATGCTTGAATTAAAAAGTTGTAGATTGTATGATTCAGGAAAACAGTAAGATAGGAGAGAGTTACATTGCAAGCCCCAATCTGTTACAGTGGTCAGACCAGATTTAGGATTGGCTGCCTGTTCTAAGCGATCGAAAAGAGAAAACTTTTTGTCAAGACAGGTCTATAAAGTTTAGTCATTAGCAAATAGAGCCAATTTAGATGTAAGATTGTTGGGAAGATCATTTATGTAAAAAGAAACAAAACAAAATCAAAGATAGAACCTTGAGGTATCTCTAGGTAAACCTCAGAGTTCTATTCTAAACCTTGAGGTACCAGAAGTTACTGGAAAAGGAGAAGAGTGTTGGCCTTCAAGGATTACTTTAATAAAGTGGTTAAAAAAATGATTTGAGAGAAAACTTTCACAGATACACCATATGAAGCAAGCTTATGAACAAGATCAGCATGCTAAACTTTGTCAAAAGCTTTAGATATATTTAGAGTAATAGCCCTAGCCTCGCACAATAAAAATATTCAGTCACAACAATTAAAAATCAGCCTTAGAACAAGAAGATCGAAAACTGTATTAATTTTCTGACAGTAAGTTATTTAATCAAGATGGAGTGTTAGAAATTTGTTGATCAAAGACTCAAAGAGCTTGCATATAACAGATAGAAAATTAATTGGATGATGGTTGGAGCGGTCAAAATGTTTACCAGAGTTTTAAAAATTGGAACCAAAGATGTTATTTTCAAGTAGGCAAAAAAAAAATAAAGCACTTATTATATAGTTTAGAGTGATTTGAAGAAATTTTTAGAGAACACATTTGCAAGACAATGACAGGAATGTTGTCTGGACCACAAGCTGTAGAAGAAATTAATTGAGACATGAATTTAGCGACAGAAACCGTAGTCATTTGAACAATAGATTAACCTGTTTAACTGAAATGTAAGAAAAGTATGTCCACAAGATTCAAGAGTCAAATTAGAATAAAAATTCTTTGCAACTTATTCAGCCTTATTCTTGGTAGAGGCAGTAAGATCAGTCCTATGAATGAGAAATGGAATGTTAGATCTATCTTTGTTAATTACGTAGTTTTATATTTTTCAAAAGTTTATAGAGCTTTACTTCTGATAAAAGATACGAGTGAACTGGGAATAAGGAAGCTAAGCATCAGACAGCACTTTTTTACATTGATTTCTTGCAATAATAAATACATGTTTGTTCATAAGAGTTCTTTTGTGAAAAATTACGATTAAACAGCTGCACAAGAAGGTGAAAACCATGGAGTAGAATAAGGCTTAACTTGGAACCCACGAGAAAAAATACAAGCTTGGTCTCCCAGGCAGTAAGCTACGCAGTTGTCACAGTCCTGCTAATTAACCCAAAGTCTTAACTTAGGGTCCCTTATGTGGTTTCAAGAACTAAGTAGCTGTTGATGAAATCAGCCGCTCTGAGAGCAACTAAGGTTGAGAGCTGTACCCTCATTAAGAGACAACAGAAGGAGTTTCATAGCCACTATCAGAGAAGCACAAGCATAAGTTATGTCATTAGATGTAGAGTTTTTAAATGTACAAATAAACAATGCAGCTGTTTGAAATATTCTTATAGAAAAAGCTGTGCAAAACAGCAATAAAGCAATTCTGCAAGTTTTGTTGATGTTAATTCCTTATGTTATTATAAAACCTAAAAAAATAAACAAATAAAAAAGTAAATAAATACACAGAAAGTAGTACAATTTATAGAGGACCTAAGTTATAGAACTCTTTTCTGAAAGGCAGTTTAAATATGGTAAATTATTAAATTCATTTTAGTATCAAACAATTCCTTACGTTTTAATTCTCACGGAATAATCTTTATTTATAATTTTTACTTCTATTTAGAAAATAAAAATTTCAAACATTATATCTTCATATTTCACTCTTTGCATTTTTTTTTTTTTTATTGGCGACTTTTCATATTTTTAAATACTATATATTCAATATTCACTATATGTATTTTTAAGTATTATATCTTTTTTGACTAATTGAGGATATTTGTACTTTTAATTAATATATCTGTTTTTTTATTCTATTTGCATTTTTAAATATTATATCTTCTTTTTTACTTTTTTTTTTTGCTAAATTTTCAAGTTGATTTATTTACCATATTTTACTACTATTGTCATGATCTTTAGGGGCTCTATGAAAAAAATAGGTTGGTATTTTGCCATCCATATCTTCTTTGAGCTCTATTTACTATATATATATATATATATATATATATATATATATATATATATATATATATATATATATATATATATATATATATATATATATATATATATATATATATATATATATATATATATATATATATATATATATATATATATATATATATATATATATATATATATATATATTTAGTAAATACAATTAATTAAATTAACATTACAAAAAAAAAACCTTACTATGCTATTTTATTGTTGTTTTACACAGCTTATAACATTAAAAACGTAAAAAGCGTTTAAAATAAAATATGTGCTACCGTTAGTGCGAATGAGATATAAGTTAAGATCTTATTGGTTTTCATGTTTTTTGCTCAGTTGGATAAAACGCTCATCTTCTATTCTGCATGACTAAGGTTCAAATTGCATTTTTACTGGATTTTTTTTCCCTCATTTATAGTTCCAATAGCTTGATATCATAACCACTAACTATGATAACTGCATATTGTGGGTTGGTGGTGTATTTTTGAGATTTCTTTTGTCTGAACTGTGCATTACTTTTGCCGTTACAATTAGTATATTGTAACACCATTAGATGAAATTTCTACAAAACAATACAAAACAATAGTCCTGCATTTTTCTTTTTGAGATCTTTCTTTACTGTTAATTATATATCCGATTTTATACATTCAGAAGACTTTTTTGTTCAAACTAGATCATTTTATTTTCTTTAAGCATATGTAAGCTACTACATGTCTAAGTAACTACATGTCTACAAATGTTATTTTTGATGTTACTGCATTAAAAAAATAATTTTATCAATAGAAAAAAAACAAACTAAAGCCGACAAAACAAAGCAAAAAAACTCGGCCTTAAAGCTGAAGATTTTTTTCAGAAACTACTACTTTTCAAGTATTTTTTATTCTTATAATGGTTATCGGACCATCAAAAAGCTCTCTTGCAATCTTTAAATGAGTTGCTAATTGCTTTAGATTTATAACTAAACAAGAATTAAAAATATTATCAAACTCTAGATTGTATAGCGAATGGCTGTAACTAGACAAAAAAAAAAGTGTTCTACCTAGTTTTTAAATACCCATATTAGGGTGAATTGAAAGTAAACAAAAGTGTTAATTTTATCACATTTTAACACTCCATACTTATTTGCCAATCCATTTATGAAACCAGAAGCAGTGGTAAAAAATAAAAATGATTTACAGGTAGTGCCCCAACTTTAAATCCAAAAGTTCGCATGCCAATCCTGTTTTCCATAACAAATAATATTACCACACTGCATTGCTTTAAATTTGTTTAAATTTGAACAAACCAATTTTCAGCCAGCTCTTAGTATTTTGCAAAATCTAAAATGATCTGTCGTTGTTTTATTTTTAGCTATTGAACGAATTGATCTGATTATTTGACATTATTGCTGCACAACAGCTGACATGACATGCCATATTTGGTAAGCTGTAATCTGCCACAAAATATTCTACTAACTAACCTTCAAGTTGCAAAGAGATTTTTACTACTGAAAAAAAGGCAAAATAATTGTGACAAAGACAAATACGAAATTTTTTCTTCAGATGATAAGGAAATGTGAGATAAGGCTTCAATTCCAAATTTGCATATTTAATCTGTGTTGAAATGTGTCGACACCTTATTTATTACCAGAGAAAAGTTGCGTCGCTCAAAGACTTGTTATAAACGTTAGGCTGATTTTCCGAAAAGCTTGAATTCTTTGTTTGATATTACGTCCTGTAAATGCTTGATGTTATACAAAGAGTCTACCAAGCAAATGACTTTTTCCTGCAAGTGTCCTAGAAAATTGAAAGTTCTATTGACGTTCTTACTGGATCAAAAAAATTTGCGTCGTATATTTTTTAATAGAAGCTTTTTTGATAAAGAAAAAGCTTGCTGATTAAAAACAACTTTCAACATAGAGATCAGATAAAGCTGAGAAATGATTTTTCAAACGATGAATAATATTAAGACTGACTCGAGTGAAGAGGATAATGACAGTGAAGTGTATCTCAGTGACAGTGGTTTCTCGCCCACTACTGCTACACAAGCAGACAAATGAGAAAACTAAAACCAAAACTAGCCAAGAAAGAAAATAGATATGGCATATCGAATTGGGCCTCAGTACCCCTGGAAACTAATGGTCTTATTAATGTTGGCATGATTACAAGAATGATCATAGTTTGGTGGTTGACAAGAGCGAAGTTCAGCGTTATAAGGTTGAAATAAGAAAAACTTTGTGTAAGGATGTGAGGAAACAGATGATTTAGTCATTAACTTTGATGTTAAAAATAAAAAGTTCAACAAAAGTTCCCAGAGATAATAAGTAGCATGGCAATATAACTGTTGAAGATCATTATGTAGTAAAAGTAAAACCAGGTGAGCATTATCTTGAGGAAAAAAGTATCAACATCAACAGAGTTATCTCAATCATTTCAGAACAATGCAAACTATATTGTTTGTGCCATGGGATGCAAAAGTACAAATGTGAACACAGGTTCCAAAGGTCGAATGAACCCGTAAGCTAAACTAGCTTTTGGACGTGCTTGGAACCGGTTTATTTAAATGTTGCGCATAAATAAGTTGCCCTTGCGTCACCTTAATACACATTTAGATGGTGCTACATCTGGTGCTATCAGTTTTAGTGGCCCTATTGTAAAAACAATGAAGACTTGAAAATCAAAACCAATCATTCATTTCTAACAAATTAAATGCCAAGACAAAATGCTAATTTTAGACGAAGATGTCTTAAATGACTCCAGTGCAATTAACATAATTGTTCAGTGTAAAAAAAAGACAATGGAACCAAAATTTGTCAGTTCTCAATTCCTACTTTTAACCACGATACAAATGACTGGGTAGAAATTATTGATTGGGTTAATGTATGTGAGCTACTAGTTACTATGAGCCTATCAAATAAAGAAATTGAACAGTTAAAAGAAATATCATTTTGTGTTAAATAAGCTAACCACACGCAATGTGTTGAACGCTGTGTAAAACTTGTTACGGAAGCCTCGCTTTCTTTGACGCTAGAAACGATTTAACAAGAACTCTATTTCATCTTGCAGTCTTACATTACATTTTGTCTCAAAAAGAGCACTGCAAACAAAAAAACAACTTGTTTTCTTAAAAATTATAAGTTCCCAATAAGATTTTAAAGTTATAAATTGTTCAAAAAGGTGCTAGAACTCAAAGGAGCAAAAAACAACTTTGAAGGATATTCTTGAAGAAAAAACTCGATCATTTTTTAAAGAAAATTTAAAAAAATAATTTCTAATTTTAAATACATGACCCTAGTCATATATATTTCTAAAACATATTTTTTATTTATCTGTTATGCTATAATTTATAAAAAACTATTTTAAATTATTTCAAATCTGAATTTTTTAAAATAATCCAACAAGCTTTTAAAATTTTTAATTTTTCCGAGTCTTTTTTTAGATTTCACATCTTTGATTAGCAAACCATTCAGATGTTTTAAACAACTATATTTAGTTTTTAAATTTTAACTGCAGAAAATTAAATTTGAACCCCAATTTATGACCAGATAAAAATAGGGGAAGTGGGGGCATAACCGCCCCCGTAACGTTTGGATTAATGTTATTTGAAAATAAAAACGAAATGTGTTTTTTAACAGTTTATTTCAATAACCACATCATTAAGGTTTAAATTGATGCATTTAAGAAAAAAATTGAACGGGTTTTGAAAATGTTATTACACAAAAATTACACTTAGTGAAAAAAACGATTTTGCCCCCATTGTGAGGCACAACCGCACCCTCACAAAAATCGATGGGGCTACACCTTTCATGGTACATTTTTTTTACAATTTTCACAGCTCAGATTATTTGATAATTTTGTTGCATGTTTGCATACTGTGCAGAAATTCTTTGTATTTACATTTTGAGTTCTGCCCCAGAAGAGAGTTCTGCCCCAGAAAAGAGTTTTTAGAAAGAATTCAGTTTCATAGCTTAATTATTAGATTATGATATTATCAAAAATGGCTTTCACTTCATGAAATAATGTTGATAACACATATCTTTAACACTAAAATCAAAAATTGCTTAATTCTCAAAAAGAAGGTCAGTAAAAATATGATCTAAATATAATATTTTTATCAAAATAAACAATATTATTCACAACTTTTCAGAAACTTAACAGTCCCTCTTTTTGACATATGCAAAATGAAGGAAACTGTTTTACTAAGGCGTGGACTGTTTTTTGCCATATAAGATAACATTTTTTGAAGAGAAATGTTAAAAAACGGTTGTGCCTCCATATGCGGTTATGCCCCCACTTCCCCTATAACTTGTAAAATGTTATTTTATATAATAAGTTCCCAAGAAAGATTTGCCTCCTTTTTTTATTATACATATGTATGTACATACACACATAAGATATTTACATAATTTAATTGTATTTTAGTGACAATCAAATCAAAAATGTAAGTGGAAACCAAGGTAACCATTTTACAATAAATCATGATGTTGTTATTATTATTATTATTAAAAAAAGTTTGTAATAATATATACTATAAAAAAATTAGCTAATTATTTATCATACCCAGGCTCCATTTTCAAATCAATATTTTCTCTGATGTATTGTTTACAACTGTTGGTTTTGACAATTATACAACTAAAACTTTGGTATTATGTTGGTTCAATGCATGACAATATTTCAACATTAACTTTAAACAACCAAACACAAGGTTTTTTGATTTATTAATTTAAATAAAAGTAAATAGATAAGTTTTTTTTTAATTTTCTTTTAGGTTTAAAGTTCACAAAACGCCCAAATAGACACCAATCTCCACACTTTTCCCATACACATTTGTATATAATAGTATACTATAATTTAGTGAGTAAATATACTGACTTGCTGGGTTATGTTCAACTTGGCGGAGTATTTGTATCCCTAGTAGTTGGTCTTTTATTTCAACAAAGTGAAAAAACCATCAATGAAGAGCTTCCATGCCTTCAATATTCAAAAAAAACACATACCTGAAATTCGATCCAACATTAGACCAGTTGTTGCTACAATAATGCTGACACTTGTTCTCTGCGTACTTTCATTGTTTGGTGACTTGAGGTTGGAGGTAGTATTTTGTTTTAATGTTCAGATTCTTATCTTTTTATAATACCATATTTAGTTTTTAAAAAATTTAATAATTACAGATACCCTGCTATATGCTGTTCACTGTAGTTCGAGGATTTTTATATGCAAAAAATGCAGCTTTTATTGGGATTGTGTAAGATTGGTTTTTTCTAATCTTTTAGTGTGATTTATTTGCTTTTTTGGGATAAAAACTAGAATAATAAACTTAACTTAATGTATCATTTTGCTTATATCATAAAAATATAATACTATTAGATAATGGTAATGAAGTATTTAAAAATAAATAGTTATAACTGTTAACAGCAGTATTAAAAGTTGTAAGATTAGTAGATCTAAAAGAATTAGCATTATTAAAAAAAGGTAAAAGCTATTGAATAAACTGAAATAATAGGTTATACAAAAAAATAATACTAACAGTATCAGTATACTTACTATAGGCAGGTGATAATGATAGTACTAAGTAAGCACTAAGTCGTTCAGTCCATATCTAGTCGAATTCTGTCGAAAACGGATCAAACATTAAACGATAAATTATTGACCAAAAATAGTCAATTGATTCGATCTACTTTTTAATTCTTTTAACGTATACTTTTGTTAAACGTTGATTAAAAGTTTACCATATTTTAGTACTGCAAACCTTTAATCAATCAGTCAATATTGACCAACATAACTAAACATCAGCTGCAATTCAGCATTGGACATGGAAGAGAATGAGGGAAGAGGGCTGAGCTGTCCCCACTCTTTCTAAGTAGGTCAACTGAAGCCCCCTAAAATATACTCTCTTACTGAATAACTTTATTTTTCAACAACAACTTGGTTTTATAAGTTGCAGATCCACATGCTCACATATGCTGGCAACTTTAAACAAATGATCCATGCGATAAACAACAAAAAATTAGTTGAAATTATTCATAGTGATTTTGAAAAAGCATTTGACTTAACTCATCCTAAAATAATGTTCGATTTGCAACACTAAGGTATTAAATACAGCATGTTTAAATGTGTTAAAAGTTTTGTAACTAATAACTTTCAATGTGTATGTCTTGGTACCTTATATTCCAAAAACATTCCAGTTAAGAGTGGTATGCCACAAGGAACTGTACAAGGACCTGTATTGTTTTTAACATTTACTAACAACATAGTTTACTGGACTAATGGAGATTGTGGCATGAAGCTGTATGCAGATGATATTTTGTTGTCTCAATTGAGGAATGATTTCAACAACATTCATCTAGTCAGAACTTTTAAAAAATTATTGCATGGTCCATTGATTGGCAAATAAAAATATAAACCTTGTTGGTTTATATTTTTATGTTTCCATTTATGCTACGGAAAATATAATATACCTACTCTACCTACTATAATACTATTCATTAAACCCCTTTACCAATATTAAAACTGTTTATTCAATTCGGTATATTGGAATCACCGTGTCCTTTGATAAAAAGTTCTCTAATCACTGCACTCCTATTTCAAGCATTACACACTCTCGCAAAAACCTACTTTTAATATCCTTTATCTCTAACAATTCTCAACTTTTGCTAAAAACTTACAAAGTTTATGTGCGGCCAGTATTATATAATTGCATCCCAGTTTGGAGCCTTCATCTTTTAAAAGATATAATTTGCATAGAAAAAGTTCAAAAATATTTTACCAGAATTGTGTGTAAAAAATGTCATATTACATACACTTAATACTTATCAGGTTTTATTGTTTTCCAACTTGACTCTCTTGAATATCGCAGAATAAAATTTGATCTTTATATGAATTATAAAATAATACATAACCTTGTTGATTTATAATTTTCAGATTTTTTTACTTTTTCCAACTCAAAATGTTTCACTTAAAGTCATTCACAAAAGTTTACTCCCCGTGTTAAATACATTTATGATACTTGAAGATTTTTTACAGCGAAATCTGTAAAGTATTATATCATTAAACTCACTTCCAGACCTTATAGTGAACTCGCCCTCAATATCATTCAAATTAAATTTAAAAAAAAGTATGATATAAAATGTTATTTCACAGTCTACTATTTTGCTTTTTTAACAATAACTCTTGTTAAAGTTTTTTTTATTACTATTATTACTATTTTGTTGTTGGTGTTACAAAAGACTGTCTCACCATTTTGTATTTTGTACATTTTTTCAAACACAAATAGATAAATAAATAAGTTACTCATTACAAAGTTTTGCGTTAATTTTAAACTGAAATAGAAAACTAGGCAATAAAAACCATCGTTAACATACCTGTTTTACAAAATTTTCCCGCATTTACGGCAGGTAACAAAACAGAGATATTTTGTTTTTAAAAAAAATATTTCTTATAATCATAATGGACACAGTCAATGCATTTTCAAAATATATCGCGAATCAAAATTACTGTGAGGGATGTTCATAAAACTAATTTGACTTTGAAAATGGTAAACATTTTTTTTTTTTTTCAGAGGAAAAAAACAAAATATTATAGATTAACTGATTTCATCATTGTACGGTAATTTAGATTTGTTTTTACGTGTTGAAAATGTTTTCGGCAAAAACCTGTAAGACTTCCATTAACTCTTCACCCCCTCCACTTCACCAGAACTTGACATCTCCTCGCGCAAATATAAATTCAAATACAAATATATACACTTTAGGTTAAGAAAAAGTATGAAGATTTTTTTAAAGACAAAATTGGTAAAATGGTCTAATATATAGGAGAATGAAAACAATTCCTTTAACAAATATCCCTTCAAATAAGTTTTTAATTTATTTTAGTGTTAAAAATGAAAAATAAAGTAGCAATGGGTTTCTTAGTATTTCTCCGAAAAGCACCGGTTAACTAATTTATGAAATCGCAAATACATTTCTATCTAATACAAATTCAAATATTTAATAAATCTTTTAATCCAATACGAATCCAAATACAAATACACCAAAGCTTATTTTTACCAAACAAAAGTACAAATTTAAACTCAACAATGAAAAAAAACGCCTTTCTGTATTGAAATATAAAACTCTTGCCAAAACAGTTTTTTAAAATATTAGGCAGTTTTTATTGTATGTGTATATTATATAGATATATTATAAATGTCCTAATTTACCAATTTATAAATTATAACTATATTATAATTTATAAAAACCATTTATTACAAAAGCATATTTTAGAAATACACCTTGTTTTTTTATTTAGTAATATTTTACATAGTTTTCAAATTAAAAAATTATTTTAATTTGAATATTAAATATATTTGATGATATAATCAACACCCACACTTTTCCCCAGACTCTTATTAACGTTGTATTTTCAAAGAATTATTTTATGAGTAGTACGAGTAATTATAATAAGAATAAATTTATAAAGATTTGGGACTTACTTGGAAGTTACTTAACTTAAAGATAAAAAAGAAAAAAAATATATTTATGCGTTTATGGTGATATAAACATCTTTTAGAATAATTTTTTATTTTTCGAATTAGATTTCCACCATCTCAATAAGGAACATTGTTCGGATTAAACATTTTTATTTCTGCCACTTTTGGATTTTTCCAGTATGCATTATTTTATCTAACAAAACATACATTTAATGGAAATTCCTTTTGGGTATGTTTTTTCTTTGTTATAGATTTTACATGAAAGTTTAAAGTAAAATTTTAGTTTTGATAATATTAAAAATATATTTTTTATTTTTTAGATAAACACAATTCTTCTAATATTGGTCACTTTTTGTTTAGTTCATCCATTATATTTATTTTGGTACTGCAAACAAACTAAAGTTTTATTAGACAAAAAAGATGACGATAAAAAGCTTTTAATAGAAAATACTCCAGACTCATACAATGAGACTTGTAGCTAACATGGTAAAATACTTACAGATTTTTAGAATAAAAAGTATATCGGTTTTGTAAAGTAGAAATATATAAATACAAATCTTTTGTGGTTATACTTAAAAAACAAATTAGAAGCAATATTGTTTAACTATGGATAATAAATCAAAAACTAATTGTTTAAAAAACGCTGTTTTACTATATTATTAAAAAATGCAGTACTGTAATAATAATTAACTAGATTAATACGTCACTATTTTATTTAGAAAGTTACTGTTTAATTAAGGTTGACTATGAACATAAAAAATAAAGAAACTATATTTAGGGTAAAGTAGGGTAATTTAGGCATGGAGATGTTTCAGAATCCCTTCAAAAGATACATAAAAACATTTAGTTATTGAGATATTGAAGCTCTGTATTTGGGTATTAAAGCTAAAGAAACAATTTTCAAAATAATGTTGGATTAAACTTCTTTTTTTATATTATAAATACGTTATTTTATGATTACAAGCTTTTTATTTTTATTTTTAGCTTTTTGAAAAATATTACATAAATGGTTATTTCTCCTGATTTTTTTCCAAAAATTATTTATTCTTTTATTTAAAAATATGAATTGATTAAATGACAGCAACAAAAATATGGAACTCAAAGTATTTTTCAAAATATATAAGTTTTCCCATGGACTACTTTAGCGAAATACATTTGGCTGATAAATTGTTTTTAATTTCGGCAGTGCTGAATTTGCCAACCGGTGTTTCGTTCGAAATGGAAATAAGATTTTAAGATATTATATACAAAAGAAGTTGATATTTGTAAATAGTTTAGTTGCATTCAGATGGTAATACAATAATAACAAGATAGTAAAAAAATGTGAATTCGTTAGTGCCTCTATAAAACTTAATAAAATAATTTTTTTTATTAGGTTTCATAAAGGAAACAATATAAAATAATATTAGGTCACAAATAAATTTCACAGAGTCTGTTTGGTCTGTTTTCTAAAAATGCAAAACAAATTCTATTCTAGTTTTATAAAGAAAATGGGATTATTTAAAAGTTTAATTGTGAAACTAACTCATTGCAATGAGCCAATGGTTTTAATAAAAGTTAATTGTTTTTATGATGAACTAAAAAAAGTAATGAACTGAAACCACTGAAATCCAGATTAATCCACAATCAAAATTATTAGGCATAGACGGATCTGGATTGCCTAATTGTCATAAACCAGAAAAAATTGTTGCCATAAAAGAAAAATAACAATAGTTTATTGCTAATCAGGAAACGCATTTCTTGTCCCACTGATATTGATTCATCCATGTATTTGATTCAGACCTGAATTTTCAGATAAAGTCCCAATACATTTTATTGCAAAAATGACTGATTAACAACTGAGTTGTTTGAAAAATGGTTTGATCATTTTTTACTAGCAGTTTAGCTTAGTCAAGAAACCAACTAATTTTTCTACTTTTAGATGGAGATTTAGGTTATAAAAAAATCTTAGTTTTATCAAAAAAGCAGAAAAATCTATTCCTTCTATCACCCTCATTTCACCCACAAACTGCAACCATTTGATGTTTCATTCTTTAAAAATCTCAAAATATTTTATGATCAGGAAATTGGTAATTAACTTTGTCTACATCCAGGTTGTCCTGTAACTGAAAGAGAGAATAGTGAATTATTCGGAATAGCTTATGGGAAAGCTGCACCTGTTTAAAATTCAGTCAAACAGGTGCATCACCTGTTTTTTCAGTCAGGGTTAAAAAAATGTAGAATATACCAATTTGATAGAAATGTGTGCAGAAAAAGATTTTGAGGCAGAAAAGGCTACTGGTCACTCATGTGTAGTATCAAAACCAAATATTACCTCTGAAATACACCCTAAATTCAGCAAGGGTTCAGACTCTACTAAAGAATAAGATCACTTTGATTTCATCACAGATTGTATTAATGCTATTCAAAAAGGTTAAGAATTTTAAAAGCTGCATTCTTCCACAATTTGTTTCAAACATAAATATGAGTTTTTTCAACCAAGCAAATTATTTACTTATCTGTAGTTTATTAATCAATTATTTTTTTAAAATTCACAAGTTAACAAATTTCATTCACTCTCTATAGTTAATTTATTTTTATTTAGAACCTGTTTCACCTAGTTCATCATTTCAGAAGTCATTAAAATTAGCCAATTGGGGCTTAATGATAAGACTAAATTTGTCTTCTTCTAGCCCCAGTCATGTAAATATTTTTTAAAAATTGTAAAAAATAAAAAAAAAATCTGACGAAGCCTAACAATCTTATAGTGTTAGATTCGGATCACTAGCTGACATTAAAAATACAAAACGAAAAAAAAAGAAAAAAGAAAAGTAAATTATGCTGAAAAAAGTACTGGATAACCATACAAATCTCAGCTAGAGAAATTTTTAACTTTAAATTCTAAGAGCAGATAACTGCGTAAAAAGTGAAATAAAAGTCAAGAGACGTGTTTCAATAATCCTGGTGCTAAAGATGTTATTAATAAACAACATTGTGCAGTATGTCAATACAGCTATGGTGATCGTGTCGATTTTTATTAAAAAAAAAATTAAAAAAAATGCCTTAAATGCTGTAGATAGTGGTATGAAACATGTGCTGCTATATCCCAGCGAACATTATTGGGGCCAATAACGGTTCAACAAAAACAACAATGCCGTGGGCCCAAATTTTGAAAAAAAACTTACCTCCCACGCAAGCGGACTGACTCAAAATATCCTCTTTCAATTTCTACAAAACAGTCTACCTTCTGCGGCCTTGCTAGCCAAAAGCACAAGGCAACAGATTGTAAAAAACAACAAATGCAAAACTTGCGGTAAAATTGAGGACAACATTCACATATTTGTCCTCCTTCTGTTAAAATATGGGAGTATTTTAAATATGTATATAACTCCTTGACACTCCAAAAATATTTCTCTCCGATAAATTCGATCTTCTTGATTGGGATAGCAAATTTGTTGGAAAAGAACCCTACTTCGCAACTGCTGTTGACGCTCACTCAAACCATTATGAGTGCAATATGGAACAGCAGATGCCGCCACAAGTTTAGTAACATAAAAATTGACCCATTGGTAGTGATCAGGGTAATAATCAGGAACATTAGAAATATTATTACTTTAAAATATCAAATTTAAAATATAAAATATAAAAAATTAATATATAATTATCATGTCCGTCGAAAGACTGCGGACATTTTCTTTCATTATTTTTGTATTAAGAACATTTTTTGCCAAGTAGAGAATGGAAATCTGAAACTAAACATATGAGCTAAAACAAAACATTAGCTCATTGCAAGATCTACATGTTTAGTAAAGATTTCCTCTTCTCTGTTATTGTTTTTCTTTTATACAACAATAATTATTATTATATATGATTAGAAAATCACTGCCAACCCTTATCTTATGATATATTATATTTAACATATTAATGCTATCTATAGAGATCGTAAAGTAAATTTAGTTTTACCGTCCTGTAATTTTTTATTTGTTTTAATAAAAATCCTTTTTCTTTAAAAAATAACAGCTTTGAATTTCTTTTTACTACCTTTTGCAAAACCTTATCTAAACTCACGATTTCCTTCCGCACAACAGCCTTTATATAAAAAAAAAACACAAAAAAATATAAAACCGAATAACACAAAAAAATCAGTGGCGGATTATCCATTAGGCTGAGTAGGCTGAAGCCTAGGGACCCGTCAGCCATAGGGGCCCGGTTCGGAAGATGATTGCAAATTTTTTTTACAGCAAATATCGATATAGGTATGTATCATGGATAAATGAATGTATCAGAACCAAATGTTATTTTTAAACTAAAAAATCAATTTTGTAGCCCAGTTATGCTGCCCAAATGTTTATTTTTTACTCTGTCTTAGTCAAAATTTTGCTTTATCAGAACCAAATGTTATTTTTAAACTAAAAAATCAATTTTGTAGCCCAGTTATGCTGCCCAAATGTTTGTTTTTACTCTGTCTTAGTCAAAATTTTGCTTTATCAGAACCAAATGTTATTTTTAAACTAAAAAATCAATTTTGTAGCCCAGTTATGCTAAGAATGGTATTCTTGAACAAATTGACACTACTGACAGCATACATAATTGTAGATATTTTTTGGGATGCTTTATGCATATCGTTAATATAAATTAAGAACAATAATGGACCTAGGATTGAACCCTGAGGAACTCCACACGTAATATCGAGGGCTCCTGACTTTTCTAGTAATACAAATTGCTTTCTGTTAGACAAATAGCTTTGAATCCACTTAAATGTTGAGCCTATTATACCGTAATATTTTAGTTATACCGTTATATATATATATATATATATATATATATATATATATATATATATATATATATATATATATATATATATATATATATATATAATAATGCAGTATCTACATTGTATGTTTTTCGATTTCAGGTCATAACGGCATATCACCACAAGTCTGGGTATCAAAAAGCTAAAGACCGTGAAGATAAAAAGAAACGTGAGGAAGCGGTCATTTCAAAAACTGTTAAAATAACTGAGCTTTTTCCTACGATTAGTGTCAATGTCAATAGAGAAGACCCACCATCGAATTCACCTTTACCATGTGTTGGTCAGTGTGGTTTGCCTGGTCAATTTGGTCATGAATTTGAACGTGATAACAGTGTTGCAGCTGTATACACTCAATCTATCTCTCACTCTGAATCTGATGATATGGTAGACGCGGAGACACTTTCTCAGAAACCAGAAGCACAAGCTGGTTCCAAAGGTGATGACAATTCCTTTTCCACTGACATTGGGCAATGGTTTGAAGTGGAAATCAATGATACATTCTGTAACTTTTGGGTAACTCGTGGCAGTGAATGTTGTCAACATTCAAATGCTGACTTCACTAGTTCAATGCAAATTGATGGAAAACAGAAGCGCTACTGCTCACAGAATCTCTTTTATCGTGTTCATTCTCGCAATGGTGAGAAAGTCCCAAGGTCATGGTTGTGTTATTCACCAGCAACATCTCGCATTTACTGCTTTGTATGTAAATTATTTTCTGCTGATGATAATTCATTCTCAAGGAATGGTTTTTGTGATTGGAAAAATGCAGCTTCACGAATACAGTCAAATGAAAACAGCATTGCACATAGAAATGCAACAATCACATTCAGCCAAAGAGTACAAGCCAGAGGATGTGTAGATTCAGCAATAGTTGAGCAATACAGACAGGAATGTGCATATGCAAAATCTGTGCTAGAAAGAGTTGTCTCAGTTATCAAATTCCTTGCTGAAAGAGGGCTCGCATTTAGAGGACATACTGAAATATTGGGGTCAAGTTCTAATGGCAATTTTTTGGGAATTTTGGAGTTGATTGCTCAGTTTGATCCACTCCTCTCCAGTCATATTGACAACCATGGTGGTAAGAGAAAAGGCTCTGTTTCATACCTGTCATCAACAATTTGTGATGAGTTAATTGATGTCATGGGAAAGCAAGTTATGAAAACAATATTGTCTGAAATACGTGGAGCAAAATTTTATTCGATTTCTGTTGACTCTACTCCAGACATATCTCATGTTGATAGGCTGTCATGTGTCTTTCGATATGTTTTGAACGATGGCCCTATAGAAAGGTTTGTGCAATTTTTAAGCATGAAAGGACATGGGGCAGAAGATTTGTTTAACAGTTTATACAGCTTTCTGGAAGAAGCAAAGTTGGATATAAAATATTGCCGAGGTCAGTCCTACGATAATGCTAGCAATATGGCAGTAAAATATTCAGGGTTACAGGCACGCATTCGAGAGAAGAACCCATTGGCTGAATATGTCCCATGTTTTGCACACTCCCTTAATTTAGTCGGTGCATCAGCTGTAAACTGCGTGACAACAGTGAGTGGATTTTTTGATTTTGTACAAAACTTGTATGTCTTTTTAAATGCATCAACCCAACGGTGGGAGCTTCTAACCAAAGGATTGGATAGTAACCAGTTAGTTCTAAAACGCCTTTCTGATACTCGATGGTCAGCACATTCTGCAGCAACTAAAGCATTGAGCAAAGGCTTTAAAAATGTTAAGACAGTGTTAGAGAACATTGCTGAGGACCCCGAGGAGAAGGTTGAAGCTCGCTCTACAGCTGTAGGAATTACAAAGAAGATGGATCAGTTAGAATATGGAATTTTATTAGAACTCTGGACACCCATATTAGATTGCTTTCATAAGACCAGTTTAAAACTGCAAAGTCCACAACTTGATCTAAATGAGGCTGTTCAACTGTTAACTTCACTAAAAGAATATGTAAATTCACTTTGAGCACAGTTTGATTTCTTTGAGAAGAAAGGAAAGGAAATAACAGGGTCAACTTTTTATAAAGAAGAGAATCAGAGGAAACGAAAGCGAAGTGTTCAATTAACCCGTCATGATGGATCAGCTGATGAAACAGTGTTTTCGGCACAGCAGAAATTTCGAATCATGGTTTTCTTGCCAGTACTTGATCACTTGAATTCAGCATTATGTAAACGATCAGAGGCATACAGTGGTGTATGTGATAAGTTTGGTTTTCTGAGAAACATTCGGTCACTGGAACAGTCTGATTTGCGAAGAGCCAGTAGAAACTTGATAGATACTTATGTAGATGATTTGGAAGAGTCATTTGAAGATGAAATACTTCACTTCAAAGAATATTTGTTAGCAGATACGTACTTGCAACAGAATGAGAAAGAACTGAAATGTAGCATAGAGCTGTATATGTATCGGGCTTTGAGAAACAGCAGTGCACTACAAGATATATTTCCAAATGTTGCCACAGCACTTCACATATACCTCAGTTTGATGATCACCAACTGCAGTGATGAAAGATCATTCTCTGCATTGAAACGGATAAAAAACTATCTGCGAAGTGCTTTGGGTGATGACAAACTGAATTCCCTTACTCTTATGTGTACTGAATCTGACATCCTAAGAAGCTGTGACTTCAATGAAATTTTATCAGACTTTGTTGAACGAAAATGCAGAAAAATGAATTTTTGATTGTGTTGTTTTTTTCTTTGGGTCAGCCATTTATAAAATATATACTAGTATCTAATATACCTGATAATTTGTTTGTAATTTTGAAATAAAATTAGATTTTATTATAGATATTATTATTATAAATAAAATTAAAATTGTACTTTTTGACGTATTTTTAGAAAAATATAGGTATATAGGGCCCATGAATTAGCTAAGCCCATAATTTGATAATCCGCCACTGAAAAAAATATATAACCAAAAAACACACAAAAAAATATAAAACTTAAAAACGTGATGTATATAAATAAAAAAAAAAAAAAAAAAAAATGTATATAAATAAAAATAGAAATAAAAAAAAAAAAAAAGAAAGAAAAGTTATTTGTAAACTTTTTATATTATATATTCAGAAAAACATTTGTATTAATTATAAATTGTAAATCATCACTTTATCTTAACCTGAGATAATTTTATAAAATTGTAAATAATTTGTTTTATTATATAAAAAAAAATAAATGAATTTACTCTTTTTTTTTCTCTCTCTATTGTTGTATGTTTTTGTCGCCGAAGCTCTCGCTTTGGTGATCAGAGCAGACAGCAGAATTGAGGGATTCCCACTACCAGGAACACCGAAACCCCTTATACTACAGCAGTATGCAGACGATTCGAACTTTTTTGCCAGGGACGTAAAATCAGTCCGCTATTTTTTTGAAACAATAAAACTATTTGAAAAAGCAAGTGGTTCAGTGTTCAATGCCTCAAAAACAAAGAGTCTCGCACTTGGGGGTTTTTAATCCTAAAATTTACCGAAAATAGAACAAAATAGAGTGGACCAATAACACCGGTTTTAAAATATTAGGTGTTACGTTTTACACCAGACTGAGTAGTACTTCCAATTTCAACTGGCTAGTAACTCTAAACAAAATGGGAAAAAACTCAAGTTTCTTGGACTACGTACTTTGTCACTTAGGGGAAAGACTATGTTGATAAATACGTTAGCAATGTCAAAAGTGTGGTTTCTGGCAAACGTGTTATGCCCGTTCCCGAACGGGTAATATGACGTTTACACAGTGCCATATTTGAAAATCGGTGGTAAAAGACCAATTACAATCCGGTCAAAAAAGAGACACTTTTCTTACCCGTCAAAAACGGGGGTCTCGGAATTTTATCACCGAAGGAGCAAAGCCTTGCACTTCACCTCAAAACACTCTTTCAACTGAAAGAATGCGGAAAGGATAACACTCACGATTACTACTACTTTTCAAAGTACTGGTTAGCAAGTCCACTTATAAAGTTTAAGGACCAAAACCACAGCTGGAACTTTTTGTAACAGAAGAACTTTGCAAAACACTGGAACAATAAAATTTCTCAGTACTACAAAACAACAATTAAAATATTAGGCAAAAACGGGTCCCTTTTTAAAATCACCCTAAAATCAACAAAAATTTTTTATTTAGAAGTTGCAAAAAAAAAAACACAGTCGTGCCAGCAGAACTTTTCTGGAACGTTTCAACAAAAACAACAATGCCGTGGACCCAAATTTTAAAAAAACTTCACCTCCCACGCAAGCGGACCAACACAAAATATACTCTTTCGATTTTTACACAACAGTCTACCTTCTGAAGCCTTGCTAGCCAAAAGCACAAGGCAACAGATTGTAAAAAACAACAAATGCAAAACTTATGGTAAAATTGAGGACAACATTCATATATTTGCCTATTGTCCTCCTTCTGTTGAAATATGGGAGTATTTTAAAAATGTATATAACTCCTTGACATCTCAAAACAATTTTTCTCCTATAAATTCGATTTTCTCGATTGAAACAGCGAATTTATCGGGAAAAAACCCTACCTCGCAGCTGCTGTTGACACTCACTCAAACCATAATGAGCACAATATGGAACAGTAGATGTCACCACATTTTTAGTAACAAAAAAATTGACCGTTTGGCAGTGATTAGCGTAATAATCAGGAACATCAGAAATATTATTACTTTAAAATATAATTATCATGTCCGTAGAAACACTGGGGACATTTTCTGTCAACTTTTTTGCATTAATAATGCAAAAAAGTTATTTATTATTAACTTCTGCCATGTAGAGAATGGGAAGCTGAAACTAAACATATGAGCTAATTTAATACACTGGCTCAAAATTCAGAAATGAATGTTTAGTTAAGACCTCTTGTTCTCTGCAAAGCTTTTTTTTACAACATAAATATTGTTATTTAAGATTAGAAAATCACTGCCAACCCTCATTTTATGAAATATTATTTTAACATATTGGTGTTTTACGTAGAGATTGTAAGGTGACATTTGTGTAAGTCCTGTAAATTTCCTTATTACCTATTAATGTTTTCTTTAATATAGTCTTTCTTTTCAAAATACTCTAATCTAATATTGAACACTATCTTAAAACATATATAAATTTTTTTAAACCTTTCCAAGTTTTTGACATTTCTCCACATCTCTCCACACGAGAGCTAAAAATTAAAAAAATAAAAAATGCAAAAAAATATATAACCAAAAAACGCAAAAAAAAATAAAATTTAAAAACACAAAAACAAAATTTATATAAATAAAATGTAAATAAATAAAAACGCTTCTAAAGTAACTATATTATATATGCAAAAAAACATCTGTAAAACTTGATTGTATTTGTAACCAGAGATAGTATAAAATTATAAAATTGTATATAATTTATTGTTTAAAAAAAAAAAAAATAAATAAATAAATTTACTTATTTACATTTGACTATTACTTTTAATATTTAATATTTACTATTAAATAACATCGCATATTTATTAATGTATATAACTTTTTACCTTTTTTTTATATTTGATTTCCTGTTTTACTTCTATAAAGCCAGACTCAAGTCATATATTTATGACTAAATATTAAATTATATATATCTAATTTAAATTAAAATAAATAATTATTCAAAATAATATAAAACATTTAAATAAATAAAAAAGTGGGACTCATGTGGGTCCCACACTTTCCAAAAAATGGCCCCAACTCACGCCCAGCGACAATTTTTTTTGGGCTGGATGTGGGCAACCCATTTAAGAGCCATAAAGTTTCCCACTTGGGCCCCATGTGGGGTCAAATATGACTTGCTGGCTGGGATGTGGTGTTTATTACTTTTTAAAAAAAATGGGTTTTCAAGTAACTTTCGAATTTACTAAAGTATGCCGAATTTACCGTATCATTGTGCCTAAAATACCATACTATGTCCTAATTCAGTCATTTTTGAGTATTTTGTAAAACAAGTTTTAGATAAAACATTAAAAGTTTGAATCAATTTGAGCAGTGATGACAAAAAAACTTTGTCATTACTGCTCAATTCCTTCGGCTTATGCTATTTTAATTCTTTTACAATTCAAGTTGGTAGAATAAAAAACTTACATACATTTAAAAAAAAAAAAAATTATAAATATATGTGAGCAAAACGAAATTTAATGTATAAAAGTTAAATTGTACAAATTTTCATAAAATAACATTGTTATAGTTAAAAAAAAAAACGTGGGAAACTCTCAGAAGACCATTAGGTCTTGTCATCAAGAACAGTTAAAAATATTAAAAAGAATTAGCGCAATATAAAATAAACAGTATTAAGACCAAAAAACTCTCAAAATTGTAATCAAAATAAAAATACAAAAAGAAGTTTAAAAGAAATCATACTCTAAAATATTCTTTTTAATTAATTTTTAAAAGCGATTTATTTTTTCTACACGTGTTATAATTTTATTCAAGTATAAAAAGCACGATATGTAACTTTAAATTGTTCCTGCTTAGTTTTGTATAAAGGTTCAAATAAGGTGCCTGCTGTGTGCAAAGTATATTGAAAGCTAGGTTTCATTTTATAGAGGTCGTAACAAATAAAAAGATATTGTTGAAGTTTACTTTTGTACATGAGACTTTAAAAATTTTAAATTTAGCGATATTATATTATTTAATCTAATTTAATAGACAAACACATTTTCTTACTCATAAGCTCAAACTCAATTTTTTATTATATATTTCTGTTGTTTGTAAACATTAAAATTTTTGAAATTCAAATAAAAAAATTTTTGTTTTAATTTTCAAAACAACTGAGCAATTTTTTTTTGTACCAACTATAACGTTAAATTAAAAAAAAAAAAAATAAACGTTTATCAGTTAATGATGTAATTGTTTCAAAGGTGGGTGGTTGATATATACAATTAACTTTAATTTAGTTGAACGATGAAATTGTTAATACAAAAGATTGGCTCTTCAACTTTTATGTTAAATAAGTTATTTCCTTGTTAACTGTTGTCTGTCATTAA